AGTAGCTGCACCAGTTTGCATTCCCACCAACAATGGGAGAGGGTTCTCCTTTTCCTGTGTCCTTGCCAGAATCTGTTGTTTCCTGTGTTGTTAATTTTAATCATTCTGACAGATGTGAGGTGATATCTATCTCATCATAGTTTTGATTTGTATTTCTCTGATGGTGAGTAATGCTGAGCATCTTTTCATGTGCCTGTTAGCCATTTGGATGTCTTCTTTGAAAAAATTTCTATTCACGTCTTCTGCCCATTTCTTAACTGGATTATTTGTTTTTAAGGTGTTGAGTTTGATAAGTTATTTATAGATTTTGGATGCCCTTAATCAGATAACTCATTTGCAAGTATCTTCTCCCATTCCAATGGTTGCCTTTTAAAAGGTTTTACTGATTGTTTCCTTTGCTGCACAGAGGTTTATCTTGATGAAGTCCCAGTAGTTCATTCTTACTTTAGTTTCCCTTATCTCAGGAGATGTGTCTAGTAAGAAGTTGCCATGGCTGATGTCATAGAGGTCACTTTCCCAGGTTCTCCTCTAGGATTTTGATGGTTTCCTGTCTCACATTTAGGTTTCTCATCCATTTTGAATTTATTTTTGTATATGATGTAAGAAAGTGGTCCAGTTTCATTCTTTTGCATGTTGCAGTCCAGTTTTCCCAAGACCATTTGTTGAAGAGACTATCTTTTTTCCATTAGATATTCTTTACTGCTTTGTTGAAGATTAGTTGACCAGGTAGTTGTGCATCCATTTCTGGGTTCTGTACTCTGTTTCACTGATCTATGTGTCTGTTTTTGTGTCAGTACCATACACGTTTTGGTCACTACAGCTTTGTAATATACCTTGAAGTCCAGAATTGTGATGCCTACAACTTTGCTTTTCTTTTTCAAGATTACTTGGCTCTTCAGGATCTTTCATGGTTACATACAAATTTTAGGAATGTTTGTTCTAGCTCTGTGAAAAATGCTGGTGATATTTTAATAGGGATTGCATAAAATGTGAACATTGCCATGGGTACTGAAGACATTTTAACAATATTTGTTCTTGCAATCCATGAGCATGAAATGTGTTTCTATTTCTTTGTGTCCTCTTCACTTTCTTTCACAAATGTTCTATAGTTTTCAGAGTATAGATCTTTTACCTCTTTGGTTGGGTTTATTCCTAGGTAGCTCTTTTTTTCCATGTTTTTGTTTAAATTCTAGCAAGTTAACGTATATGGTAAAATTGGTTTCAGGTGTAGAATTTAGTGATTCATCACTTACATATAATACACGGTGCTTCTCACAACAAGCACCCTCCTTAATACCCATCACCCCTTTTGCCCATCCCCCCACTCACCTCCCTCCATTAACCTTTAGTTTGTTCCTAGGTATCTAATGGTTTTTAGTGCAATTATAAATGGGATTGATTCCTTTTCTCTTTTTCCTGCTTCATTATTGGTGTATAGAAATTCAATAGATTTCTGTACATTGATTTTTATCCTGCAGCTTTACTGAATCTGTGTATCAGTTCTAGTAATTTTTTTGGTGGAATCTTTCAGATTTTCTACATAGAGTATTTTTTTTTACTTCTTGAGGTAGGTTTATATTCTTATATATTTCCCTCTTAGGGGAACCTTTGCATCCCAAAGGTTTTAGACTCTCATGTTGTCATTATCATTTGTTTCCATCTGTTTTTTAGCTTCTTTTTAATTTTCTGGTTGGTCCATTCATTCTTTAGTAGGATGTTTAGTAGGATGTTTTTTAACCTCCATGTATTTGTAGTCTTTCCAAATATTTTCTTGTGCTTGCCTTCAAGTTTCATAGCACTGTATTTAGAAAATAAGCATGGTATGAGGGGCGCCTGGGTGGCTCAGTGGATTAAAGCCTCTGCCTTCGGCTCAGGTCATGGTCCCAGGATCCTGGGATGGAGCCCCGCATCGGGCTTTCTGCTTGGCAGGGAGCCTGCTTCCTCCTCTCTCTCTCTCTGCCTGCCTCTCTGCCTGCTTGTGATCTCTATCTGTCAAATAAAATAAAATAAAATCTAAAAAAAAAAAAAAAAAGAAAATAAGCATGGTATGATCTCATTCTGTTTATACTTGTTGAGGCCTGATTTGTGACCCTATTGTAATCTATTCTGGAGAATGTTCTATGTGCACTCAAAAAGAATGTATATTCTGCTGCTTTAGGATGAAATGTCCTGAATATATCTGTTAAGGTCATCTGGTCCAGTGTGTCATTCAAAGCCACTGTTTCCATGTTGATTTCCAGCTTAAATGATCTATCCACTGGTGTAAGTGGGGTGTTAAAGTCTCCTACTATTATTGTATTATTATCAATGGGTTCCTTTATGTTTGTTATTGTTTTATGTATTTGAGTGGTCCCAAGTTAGGGGCATAAACATTTATAATTGTTAGATCTTCTTGATAGACTCCTTTGTTGTGATAAAGTGTCCTTCTTCCTCTCTTGTTACATTCTTTGTTATATATTTAGAAATATAGATATATTTTTTTTAAGATTTTATTTATTTATTTGAAAGGGGGAGAGAGAGAGGGCAGGGAGAGGTGCAGAGAAGGAGGGAGAGGGACAAGCAGACTCCATGCAGAGTGCAGAGCCGGGTGTGGGGCTGGACCCCACAACCCTGAGAGCCAAAACCAAGAGTCACGTGCTTAACTGACTGAGCCACCCCAGTATCCCTACAGTCTTTAATTTAAAATCTCGATTGTCTGATATAAGTATTAATACTCTGGCTTTCTTTTGGCATCCACTAGTATAAGTGTTTCTTCATCCTCTGACTTACAATCTATAGGTATCTTTAAGATGAAAAGGAGTCTTGTAGGCAGCATATAGAAGGGTATTGATTTTTTGTCCATTCTGACACCCTGTGTCTTTTGATTAGAACATTTAATCCATTTACACTCAGAGTATTCATAGTTAAGAATTTAGTGCCATTTTATTGTTTTTCTCTATTCTGGAGATTTTCTTTGTTCCTTTCTAGTCTTTGTCATTTGATCTTTCTTTCCACTCAGAGAATCCCCTTTAATATTTCTTACAAGACAGGTTTAGTGGTCACAAACTCCTTTAGTTTTTGTTCATCTGGGAAACTGTCTTTTTCTCTTTCTATTCTGAATGAGAGATGGCCTTGCTGGATAAAGTATTCTTGGCTGCATATTTTTCCCATTAAGCCCATTGAATATATCATGCCACTTTCTTCTGGACTACCAAATTTCTGTGGTGAGATCTGCTGCTAACTTTATTTGTCTTCCCTTGTAAGTAAGGGACTTCTTTTGTCTTGCTGCTTTTAGGATTTTTTTCTATATCTCTGTATTTTGCAAATTTGACTACTACAAGTCGGTGTTGGCCTGCTTTTTAAAATTTTAATGGGAGTTCTCTGTGCCTCCTGAATTTGGATATCTGATTCCTTTCCCAGATTCGGGAAGTTTTTAGCTGCAGTTTTCTCAAATAACCTTCTACCCCCTTTTCCCTCTCTTCTTCTGGGCCTCCTATGATAAGAATGTTATGCTTTATGAAGTCACTGAGTTCCCTACTTCTATATTTTTCTAATATTTTGATATATATTTATATATAATATATATATCTATATATTTATTTATATTTATATATTTAGATATATATATATAATATATATCTAATAACTTCTATGTATTTATATATAATATATATAATATCTAAAATATATATATATCTAATATTTTTCTTTCCCTCTTTTTTCAGCTTCACTGTTTTTCATAATTTTACCTTTTATATCACTTACTCATTCCTCTGCTTCTTCCATCCTTGTGGTCATTACAAATCCAGTCTGTTTTAAATCTCAGCTATTGCATTTTCTACTTTGGTCTGTTTTTTAGGTCTTTTATCTCTGTGGTGAGGAACTCCCTGGTATCTTCTGTGCTTTTCACAAGTCCAGCTAGTATTTTTATGATTGTTGTTTTAAATTCTAGATCAGGTATATTACTTGTGTCTGTTTTAATTTTAATTAGATTCCTGGCTGTGACCTTTTCTTGTTCTTTCTTTTGGGATGAATTCCTCCATCTTGGCATTTTGTCTAGGTCTCTGTCTTCTGTGTGTTAGGAAAGCCTGTCTGTTTACATCAGGTTATTGAAAATAATCTGTCATGTCTTTGGATATTCTAAAATTGAATGTCAAAATCAGTGATTCTTATAATGCAAGTTTATGACTAATCAAATGAAACCTAACATATCTGATAGTTCATCAATGATATCCCTTACCGGATTTTAAAAAAATGTATTTCAGTGGGTTTTTATTATAGTCAGTTCCCTCTGCTTCATGTTTAAGTTGCTAAAACATTAAGAACAACTAAAATTAATAAGGAATAATAAAATTGAAAAGAAGTATAAGACCCAAATGGTCGTGAAAATAATGAAATATTAAATAGAAAGTTAGTTGGATTTCTCTCTCTTGCTCTTTTTTTTTTTTTTTTTTTTTTTTTGGAAAAAAAGACATTAGGTATTTAACGGTTTTCTTTCAAAATATTTCATGATTGGAATAGGAATGACAGCCACTGTTGGGTGGGATTGGGGGGAGAAGTGGGAATAAGAAGGTAGAAGCAAACAATTGAATTTAACAATGGTAAATGTGGATCTTCAACAAATATAACTTAAATTATGGATAGCTAACACAATACTCTGGGAACACATTAGTTTTATGTGTACTAAACAGGATGAAAAATGAGTTTCTAGCATTCTCTTAAGAATCTAACTAAAATATAAGCCTGTGTAGCAATGAGTTCTGTGCTTGATTTCAAAATTCACTTCTAATATTGCAGAAGTTATAATAATAAATAACCAACTTACCAAGAAAGGAAAAATTATTTTTCAGTTAATGGTATTTGTGACTAATACTTGAAATAATATATAAAATTTTGTTTTATTATGTTGTCATGGCTAAAACATACATGAAATCATTTTAATGTAAAATGTAAGTTACAGAGTTTTTAAATCTTTTTTTCCCTTCTTAATAAAGTTCTATTTTTTGTGTATTTAATTATAGACAAAAGGTTCTCAAACCATGACACCCTCTGGCACCCAGAAAAAAGTTAAGAGAACTCTGCCAAACCCACCCCCCGAGGAGACCTCCACAGGCACTCAGTCCACGTACAGCACAATGGGCACAGTTTCCAGGAGGAGGATCTGCAGAACCAACACAATGGCACGAGCCAAGATTCTCCAGGATATAGACAGAGAGCTTGATCTTGTAGAAAGGGAATCTGCAAAGCTGAGAAAGAAACAAGCAGAACTTGATGAGGAAGAAAAGGAGATCGATGCCAAGTTACGGTACCTGGAAATGGGAATTAACAGGAGGAAGGAGGCATTATTAAAGGAGAGAGAAAAGAGAGAGCGAGCCTACCTCCAGGGAGTAGCTGAGGATCGGGATTACATGTCTGACAGTGAGGTGAGCAGCACCCGACCAACCCGAATAGAAAGTCAGCATGGCATAGAACGACCGAGAACTGCTCCCCAAACTGAATTTAGCCAGTTTATACCACCGCAAACCCAAACAGAATCTCAACTAGTTCCTCCTACAAGTCCTTATACACAATATCAATATTCATCCCCTGCTCTTCCTACCCAAGCACCTACCCCATACACCCAACAGTCCCATTTTCAGCAACAGACTTTGTACCATCAGCAGGTTTCACCTTATCAGACTCAACCAACATTTCAGGCTGTGGCAACAATGTCCTTCACACCTCAAGCTCAACCTACACCAGCCCCACAACCTTCTTACCAGTTACCGTCACAGATGATGGTGATACAACAAAAGCCACGGCAAACTACGTTGTATTTGGAGCCCAAGATAACTTCAAACTATGAAGTGATTCGCAACCAACCCCTGATGATAGCACCTGTTTCTACTGATAATACTTATGCTGTTTCTCATCTTGGGAGTAAGTACAATAGCTTAGACTTGAGAATAGGATTAGAGGAAAGAAGTAGCATGGCAAGCAGTCCAATATCAAGCATATCTGCAGATTCTTTCTATGCAGATATTGACCATCATACTCCACGAAATTATGTCCTAATTGATGACATTGGAGAGATTACCAAAGGAACAGCAGCATTAAGCACTGCGTTTAGCCTTCATGAAAAGGATCTGTCAAAAACAGATCGTCTCCTTCGATCCACTGAAACACGTAGGTCTCAAGAAGTGACAGATTTCCTAGCACCTATACAGACTTCCTCGAGATTGCATAGTTATGTGAAAGCAGAGGAAGACCCCATGGAAGATCCCTATGAATTAAAGCTTCTGAAACATCAGATTAAACAAGAATTCCGTAGAGGAGCAGAGAGCTTAGATCACCTTGCTGGTCTTTCCCATTATTACCATGCTGATACGGGTTATAGACATTTTCCCAAATCTGAAAAGTACAGCATTAGCAGACTCACACTTGAGAAACAAGCAGCAAAACAATTACCAGCTGCCATACTATATCAGAAACAATCAAAGCATAAGAAATCACTAATTGATCCTAAAATGTCAAAATTTTCACCCATTCAAGAAAGTAGAGATCTTGAACCTGATTATTCAAGCTATATGACTTCTAGCACTTCATCTATTGGTGGCATTTCTTCCCGAGCAAGGCTTCTTCAAGATGACATCACTTTTGGCCTCAGAAAAAATATTACAGACCAACAGAAATTTATGGGGTCATCTCTTGGCACAGGGCTGAGCACGTTAGGAAATACCCTAAGGTCGGCTTTGCAGGATGAAGCGGATAAGCCATACAGTAGTGGCAGCAGATCCAGACCTTCTTCCAGACCTTCTTCTGTCTATGGCCTTGACTTATCAATTAAAAGAGATTCTTCCAGCTCTTCCCTAAGACTGAAAGCTCAAGAGGCTGAAGCTCTAGATGTTTCCTTCGGTCATGCATCACCTTCAGGCAGAACTAAGCCGACCAGTTTACCAATTAGCCAGAGCAGAGGAAGAATACCAATTGTGGCCCAAAATTCTGAAGAAGAAAGTCCACTCAGTCCTGTTGGCCAGCCAATGGGAATGGCCAGGGCTGCAGCTGGACCCCTTCCACCAATATCTGCGGATACCAGGGATCAGTTTGGATCAAGTCACTCATTGCCTGAAGTTCAGCAACATATGAGAGAAGAATCACGAACTCGAGGCTATGACCGTGACATAGCGTTCATCATGGATGACTTCCAACATGCCATGTCAGACAGCGAAGGTAAATTGGGCCTCAAACTACCTTGTTACTCTCAAAACTCAAACTCTTATTTTTCTGCATGTTTAATTTTCCTTCTTCAAGGATGTATTCTACTTTTCTTAGTGCGTCTTTTGCATGTTTACTTCAATTTTATTTCTTGTAAACGGAAATTTGATATTGTGTATAGATTTTCTAGCATGCTTTTCTTTATTTCTTTTTAGTTTATTCTTTTATTGTTGTTTCTTGATTGTTTGCTTGATTTGTTTGGTGTCCACTTTTCTAAAACCATTATCAAGTAATTATGTCAATAAAATATGGTCATCCTTTAAATCCATAGTTGGAAAGTTTTTCATTGTATGTTTCTTTTATTTTTTAAAAAAATGCATTTCTAAATATATTGGTCAGTTTCTTTCAGTTTGTGAAATTATTAATATTTAGAGCCATTAAGTACTATTCTGCTAGACTTTGTAATAGAAAACTACTTATGTTATTTTTGTGATATCATTGTTCGTTAATTCACAGAATGTTCTCTTTTTGAGAATCTTTGGCTAAATCCCTGATATTAGTGTAATGTAGAATTTTATAAGTCTCCTTAAATAAAGGATTAATATTTTTATTTCTCTCATGAATACCGTAATTGACAAGTTTGTGCATTTTGCATTATGTATGAGAAAGCTTAGTGCTAAATATGATATTGAGGAAAAAATAATCATATCAGTATATGGGAAATATTCTTTAGATTTAGAATAATAAATTTGCCTACTGCTTTTGTGAGTTTAGCAAACTGAAGCCCTCCTGGTTGGTGTACCCATTTAGGCTTTTCCTTGGCTTTGCTTTTGGCATCATCCCATTTTTTTTAATCCTAAATTGTTTTGCTAGTTTTTCTTTGAATAAATGATTTAAGGCAAGTATATCCCTTAACCAAAAACTGGCTTATGACAATTTGTTGTTGTTTAATCATATAGAACTATAGGATTTTAGAAAATTATCTACTTTAAATATAATTGTGAAGACAAGGGGGAGCAGTAAGGTATGAGTCCTCCATGCCAGGAGGACTCATGGCTTTTGGTCCTCTTTTTTTCCCTCCCCCGATGGTTTATATTTGAATGTAGATGTGGTTTGAGTCTTGGAAATAAAATATTTCTTATTGAATTAAAATATTATTTCATTCCTTGGAAGACTGCAGAGAACTAAACTAACATGATCACCCTCCCTTTTAAATGTGACATTTTCCCTGAGGATTCACAGGAAAATATGTGTTCATGAAAAGTATTTTTCTTCTACTTCTATATGTAGACACTAATACGAATTTAGAAGTTCAAATCTAGATTTGAGTAGGATTAAAATAAGTCACTGAATCTGAAAGTGGACAGATTTCTTTTCTTAGAGAAATCCCAACAGATTAGTTCCTGTCTAATTTATTTTCTTCTCTACAGGCTATTGGATTGACCATTTTTATTGATAATTATTCAATTAACAAAACACTCTATTTGTATATTTTTTTCTTAGTCAATTATTTGAATCTTTCTGGTTAAACAAGAGTTATGATATTATGTGGAAACAGTTTCTTTCTTTACTTTTTTCACAATCCACATTTTACACACATTTTATACATATAAAACGATTGCTACAGAGGAATCAAAAGATTCTTCAATAATCATATTGGTAAAATAAGATAAAACAAAAAATTTAACAGGTTTATGGTATAATTGAACACCTAAGGCTATGTGTGCGCATGGAGCATATATTTGAGAAAATTTGACAAATTTACTTGTTCTTCATGGATATTTATCAACATGGTACCAGACATTTAGATTTTTCTAGATATTCCAAAATGTATTTATTTACATACAACCATATAAAAATAACCAGATGTTTTATTTCTCATTGATATGTTTGGATGATATATATTCCTAATTGTCAAAGACTGTATGAAAAGTAATGTTTTCATAAAGTAGATGATGAGATGTCATGCAGCATACAAAATTATGAAACATGTAAAGATGATACCAAAGAAATAAATAATTAAAGTGAAATTTAGATGAAATTACACAATTAAACTAAAACATATTTAAAAATTAACCAGACAAGAAATTTAGTCATAAAAAACATGCGGATAAGAATTAGACAAAGGACAGCTTGTATAACAAATTGAATTACATATGTTATATTATGTGTGTGAATTGTAGTGATTATTCTTAGAAGTTGTATGATTTAAAATGTTACTTTTTTTTTTTTTTTTTTTTGGCTTTTAAATCACCGGAACATATTCCTTGCTTCTGATAAAGCAGAGACCTACTTTTCTTTTGAAATCTTGGGATTCCTTGGTAATTAAGGGAAAAAGTAGAAAATACTTTTCCTAATTACGTAATTCATTTGTAAACTCATGAAATACAAAGAAATTTTTAAATAAATTTTTACCAAATATATGCTATATCTCTAATTCACTGATACAAAGATCACTCTGAGAAGTGTAACATACCAATAGGCTATTTAGTATTGAGTAGACAAAAGCAAATTTAACTGCCTTCAAATTGTTGTGTGCTTTCTCCAAATTCAATTAAACTCTATTTTATAGATGCTTAGAATATCTTTCAGATATCTTCTATATGACTTTAGTTAATTTTGAAATAGCTCACTTGAGGTAAAGTCTAGATAAGCATAATTTACATTGCTTAGTATTTATGGCCATCAACTTGAAGTCCACAATTTGATGTGCATGTATGGTTAGTTAAGTACAGAGTAGGAAACCCTTTTTTGGAGCAGATTTGGAGGAAAGCTAGCTAAAAACAGTCAAGTGATATTTACTTCTACAAACACAAATATTTTGTTGAAAATAATTCTTTCGAAGTATACTCTAAGCCAAAAAAAAAAAAAAAATCAATATATCTCTTTGAAAAAAAGTTTTCAACCCATATTTGATAGTGAATAGAATTGTACTATTCCTATAACTTTAGATAATACTACACCTGAAAATAGCTTACTTTTTGTTTTACATTTAAGATTTCAAGAAAATATCATCAGTTTAAAACAAGGAGGTGTTAATCTTCAGGCAATTATTTCAGTTACTTTGGATATTTTTATAAAATTTAATTTTTAGTGCTCGCTTTGGCAGTGCATATACTAAAATTTAATTTTTAAAGAACAGATCTACCATGGCAGATCAGACAGTTGCAGTTGTAAACAACTAGCTATAAACTTTTATGCAAAACATGACAGACATTCTAAGTTAGTTACATATTGAGTTTTTATAAGAAATAATAGGCAAAGTATATAATCAGGAACAAATTGAAGAAATTTGGGCCGGGTTCAGATTCTGCTTTATTAGTAATGGACATACCCAAGAAAACATAATGTAAAGGATTGTGTTTCAAACGCAGTTTGCAAAGTTTTATATTCAAGTGAAAACACATACTATATAATCTAAGATAGGCATTTATTAAAATCAGTATAGATTATTTTTTCATGAGAAACACATAATAAGAATGTGTAAGAAGTAAAATAAGATAGTGTTACTATGGTTGGGAATAGTCTAGTAAGTTTTTAAGAGATCAATGTTTACATTATAGATTTATTTGGAATTTACTTACCAGGTATCTATTACATTAAATGTTTTCTCATATAAGTTTAGTTTTTAGTGTCAAATTAAAACTGTGAAAAACCATAATATGTTGTCAAGGAGATTGTGAGTCAAGGTTATATAAATATTAAAGTTCAAGGGATAGATTAATATTTTTTAATATGTGTATAGTTAGGGTGTTTAACTTCTTTCTCTAGTTGACGATTAATTTTTCTGTTTCATTCATCTCCCAAACATTTATTGAATCTTATGGCATTGTAAGACATTGTTTTTAGTGTTGAGGGAGGGGGAAAAAGAAGAAGATCTGAGCCTTATCCTCAAGCAGCTTATAATCTCCTATTAGAGATCAGATAAGAGCACATATGACCACAAACCAGGTATGTAACATTGCATTTCCTCAAATCGAAGAATGACTAAATTATGACATATCATCTATCATCATATTTATTGGGGAGAAATGCTGTGGTTAGTCACAGGAGATGACCACAGGACCAAGATCACAGGAGTTATGGAGGTGAGTAGTGGTGTATATGCTATGGGTTTGCTAGTCCTACCAGCAAAGATATAATGGAACTTGCCTGGGGAAAAAATATGTTAGGAAGTTTTGGAAGAAAAGACAATCAAGGATATAGACAGAAAAAGAAAACTATGATGAGTTAGGAGAACTCAAAAGTATGGTGTTGTAGAAGCTAGAATTTCAAGGAGACCTAAGTTGATAGCACCATCAACAAATCTTCAGGATAGGAACTGGAGGACTGCTCCAGCTGCCATTTGGAAAGCAGCAGTGTATTTCAGAGATGCTTTTACAAATCAGGTATTGTTTTGCAAAGAATAAAGCTGTATATGAAGCCAAATTCTATATATCAAGTAAAGTGGGATTTTTTGGTCACTTAATAGCTTTAAAAAACGTTGGAAATAAAGAACTGAATGGGATGAATCACTTAAAATAATTATGTACTTAAATATGTTTACATTTTCAAAAATATTTGAAGATATCAAGTTTTGTCATCTTATAAATATAAAAAGCAGTCAGTCAACTCTTCAACCTAATTCCTGAATCCATGGCCACATGGAAAATAATTGCTTAATTTTTAATAAAATATCCTAAATATCGTTTAATTGTAGGCTACCAGGCAGTATGGCACATATGTTCCTTGCAATAATACCTGGGATCCTCTTAGAAATAAGTGTTTTCATTTATTTATCAAATGTCATAGAAATGTCATGTTTTCAAAAATACTCACTTGATGTTTAAAGCCAGCAGCTGCATGTTAGTAGTGATTTATAGTTTAGTGGGAAAGTGACAGAATGTTCATACCGAAGGAAGCCATTTTCCTTAGATTTTAGTGGTAAGTTGTAAGTAGTGGGGAGAGAGGAGGAGGTAGGAACTGAAGGGTTGAGGTTGAATTGAATGACTTCTGAGGAATATTCACTTGTTCTTCTATTCAGTTACTATCTAAATTTCTTATTTAAAATTTAATCTTGTTTTATTTTTCTCTGAGAAGTTGAACAGGTGTGTACATTATTTTTTTCTAAGTTATTCCATGGTACAACATTTTCATCATAGTATTGGAAATGATTTTTTTCATCGTCTTGGGAGTTGTATTTGAACTGCATGAATGGTTAACAAGCCTGGAGCATGTTGATACTTCGGAACATCTGCTGTCCTCTGTCATCTGTATTAGTTGTGGTTGCAATGTTTGATATTTCCTTGGTCTCCAAAGCCTATCATCTGCGTCGTGAAGAAACAGATTGGTTTGACAAACCCAGGGAGTCTCGTTTGGAAAATGGACATGGTCTGGATCGCAAACTGCCAGAAAGATTGGTCCACTCTAGACCAGTTAGTCAACATCAAGAGCAAGTAAGTGCTATATTGAGAAATCTCTTTTAGATTTATCCCCCATTGCCACAAAAAAATCCATTTATCATCCAGTCAATCCATTAATCAGTCAATTGGTCAATCAAACAGTCATCCTAGATCGGTCTCAGTAATCCTAAAATGCATGGGACTTTTGTCATTCAAGTTCATAAAAGAAAATTTTTTTCAGTAACTTAAAATACTAAGTACCTTACTTAAACATCCCTGGATATCAATATTGCAGCATAGCTGTGGTGCTTCTAAACTGGGCAATTTAAGTGATTCTTTCTTCCATAAAAGATAGTTAAGTTTGTACAACATACCCAACACTATTATGCAGGGGCAATACATACATGTATTGTATGTAGATCCCTTTTTTTTTTAATTTTATTTTTTCAGTGTTCCAAGATTCTTTGTTTATGCACCACACCCAGCTTCATGCAATACGTGCCCTCCTTAATACCCACCACCAGGCTCACCCCACTCTCCCATCCCCCTCCCCTCCAAAACCCCCAGTTTGTTTCTCAGAGTTCATAGTCTCTCATGATTCACCTCACCCTCCAATTTATCTCAATTGATTCATGTAGCTCCTAAAGACCTTACAGAATGTTGGGTGAAATAAGGGTAATTTTAGTGCTTTCCAATAGCAGTATGTTTGGGTGTTAAGAAATAGCAAGTAAGGGTTGACCAAACCAAGTCAGCTGGGGACAGGAAAGGCTTCACTTTGGGAAAGAGGGGAACTTATATTTTAGAGTCTATTATATTTTACATATATATCTTTAGATTTTTATCATCATAAAAACTCAAACGAAGCTCTCCCTCTGCCTGCCTCTCTGCCTATTTGTGATTTCTGCCTGTCAAATAAATAAAATCTTAAAAAAACCTCAAACTACATACTAATAATTAATATCTATTTTTTTTTAAGATTTACTTATTTTAGAGAGAGAGAGAGAGAGAGAGAGTGTGTGTGTGTGTGTGTGTGTGTGTGTGTGTGTGCCTGGAGTGGTTGGGGAGGGTCAAGGAGGGGAAGAGGGAGAGAGATAATCTCAAGCAGACTTCCAGCTGATCCACGGAGCCTCATGCAGGGCTCAATCTCACAACCCTGAGATCATGACCTGAGCTGAAATCAAGTCAGATGCTTAACTGACTGAGCCACCCAGGGTGCCCTAATAAATATCTATTTATAGGTGAAACTAAAACTTAGAGATGAATTTCACAGATAAATGTGATGTCAAAATTCATGGTCATATTCACTTTAGATCAAATGAAGTGGTGTTTGAGTGAATTTTGAAAGACACATAGGAGATCAAAGTTAGATAAATTGAGGGAGATTCCTCTGGTAAGCCCAGTGGCCTAAATCAGTTGCCCTAAGACATCAGATATTTGTAGGCTGTGTATCCATAAACTTTACCCATAGAAGAGAGAGTTGAGTTATTTCTTATATATTAATTCCTAAATAATCCTGTCTTATTAGTGATTCTCTGATATAGAAGACAACTCGGTTTTGAAAATCAAAAGTAAACCATATGAACTTACTGTGATTTACTTCAGTGTTTGTCACATTAAAGTGTAAAAGAGATGACTTTCATCACATGTAAGTGCCATTGAAAAGACAGTATCTATACTCAAATTTGATTTCTTTCCAAAGGAATTTCAGTTTTCATGGACAAATTTCAAGATTTTAAATAGAGTATCTTGGGAGCACCTGGGTGGCTCAGTCAGTCAAGGGACCAGCTCTTGACTTTGGCTCAGGTCATGATCTCAGGGTCCTGGGATGGAGCCCCAGGCCAGATTCCAGTCTCAGTGAGGAGTCTGCTCTAGGATTCTTCCTCTCCCTCTGCCCCTCCCCTGCTCTGTCTCTTTCTCTCTTTAATTAATAAATAAATCTTTAAAAAAAAGAATTTCTTTATCTCAAAATTTTGTTCTGTAGTGGTTTTATACATGCTATCATATTTTCTAGAAATACTAGAATTATTTTCTATATGTTAACAAATATTCTTTTCAGTTTTTGATATCTTTTAATAAGATTATAGTTTAGACCCATCTGCCACCCATCTCCCCTCTGATAAACATGGGGCGGATGGGTCAAATAGGTGATGGAGATTAAGGAATGCACTTATGATGAAAATAAATAAATAATGAAATATTTTTTGAAAAAAAATTTGGTTTAGGGCTGTGTTTACCTCTATATACATGTCTATATTCTTCTATTTCTTTGAACTTCATTTAAATGTATCAGACAATTGAATTAGACCTTTCTTAGATTACCTTATTATTAAAATTGTATTTATATCTGTAGTTCAGTCTCATCAATTAGATCAGCCTGATGAGCACGAAAAATTAATAAAATCATCCTGAACATGTTTATAAAATGTAAATTTACCTCTTTTTATCTATACTTAATAGAATAATCTGTCAGTTGAAAATAGCTTCCTTGAATGTATTTTACTGTAAGAATCCATCTTTATTGACTTGCTTTTCATATCTTAGCTGTCTCATTTGTTTCTTTGAAGTTTATTTTTTCCCCACAAACCCATATTAAGTCAATGAAAGCACAAATCCTTTAAAGAAATCTTAATAAGATGAAATATGTAAATGGGAAGCTAGAAAATAGCTCCTGTTCAGTTACTTTATGACATTACTATTTCCATGGATATTTAGAATAGTCTTGCTCAACTAATTTATTCAACCAGTATTCTTGAAGGATACATTTTAACATAATCCATTTCCACCTCAAAAAATATTTTCTGGAATTCTTTTGTATGTAGATGATACATTAACGACCTTAATGGCATTTTTTGATTCTAGTTTTCTGTTATTAACATCTGCAACTTTATGATTTTAATCTGCTGAGGATATAATCCATTGTATTTAAACAAAATATAGACCAATATAATGCCAAAATTAAGTAGAATATATTTAAGAATCATTCCATGAATTTCCTGCTATTTTTAATAAAGTAGAAATGTGAGGATCCTTGGTAGAATTATTTATAAATAAATGTAATAAAGTAATGTGTGACTTATTAAAAGTTATTTTTTACATGTATAAGGTTTTTACATTTTTTTACTTTGATAACTAACATACAGAAAAAAAAAAAAAAACCCTACCCATGCAGTTACCAAAACAGCAAATAAGCAGAATTATAAGCTAGTTATAAAGTGAACAACCATATAACCAACACACTGACCAAGAAAGGGAATATGCTTGCCCCAGGTACCACCGTGTGCCCCTTCCAGATGGTAATCCTCAACCTCCTTTAGAAAAGTAACAAATAAAGGGGCACCTGGGTGGCTCAGTGGATTAAAGCCTCTGCCTTTGGCTCAGGTCATGGTCTCAGGGTCCAGGGAACGAGCCCTGCATCGGGTTCTCTGTTCAGTGGGGAGCCTGCTTCCTCCTCTCTCCCTGCCTGCCTCTCTGCCTACTTGTGATCTCTGTCTATCAAATAAATAAATAAAATCTTTAAAAAAATAAAAGTAACAAATATGCTAAATTTGTGACAATGATTTCTTTGTTTTTCTACATATAGTCTTTTCTAAACAAGCTACATAGAAGATGACATACATTTTGATTACATAAAGCTCAAAATTCATGGGGTTTTTGCATTAATATTTATCTTCAGGTACTGTTTTTGTCATTAGTTCATCATAACTGTGTTTTGGTCTAGAAAGAATAGCAAAATGGCGTTCTCATTTTATTCACTTGTTTCATCTCCAGTCATAAAAAGGTAATATCAAGCTCTTGGTTCTAATAAACCCAGATGCTTTTATTTGGAAACTTACACATAAGAAGAATTTATACTCATAAAATGCCCTGGAGGGAAAAGTAATAAAACCAAATTGATTAATGCAAACATGAACTTATATGCTTAAAAAATAACATATAAAAATATATGAGAAATAGAAAATGTTTTCTGAATTTTTCTTAGACTCAAAATCATATTATTATTTGAATATATACATTTGAATATATTATGAATCTATTTGAAAGGAAACAGATTTGCTTTATTCACTTCATTTATAAATAGGGCTAATAGCCTTTACAGGGTAATTATAAAGGCCAACACTTCTTGACTAGTACCGAATGCCTCCACATCCTGCACTAGAGCCCTTGCCTACTGCAGTCTTCATGCAACTGTAATATTGAGGTAATTAAGCTCCACTGAGAGAGCCATTCTTCCTCTCTGTTCTGAGCCTTTGGATGTCTTGTTCCCTTTCCCTGAACACTCTTTCTGCTCTCATCTCGGCTACTCTACTCATCATTTAGGACTCCATCTGCGTGCCTCATCTTACAAGAAAGTCTCTCATCCTAACACCACCACCTCCCACACAGCGGGGCAAGTGTTCTTCCTTTGTGCTCCAATAATATTGCATGCATTATGTCAAAGGCTATGAGCAACGAGAGAGCAGGGGCTCCCTACTCCATCCACCGTAGTCCTATACAGTGCTTAGAACAATACGTGGGACATAGGAAGGACACTCCCTCCTCTGCCTCTAGCATGCATGGTGTTTAGGAGAGGAAAAGGATGAATGTCCGTTTGAATCAAAGGTATGTTAACACAAGTGTTATTATTTCATAAGTATGATGGCTCAATTATTTATGAAAATATTTGTAGAGAAGAAGAATCCTTTTGGTGGCAGACATAAAGTTGATAGCTCTTTGGTGCAGAATCACCAAAAGACAGTAATATCAGAGACCACACGATGGAGAAATAGGTGTGGGCACTACTTGACATCAGTCCTGCCATCGTTCCTCCTCTTACTTGGCAGAGCAACACTGACCCTGAAACTCCATCTGCTGGAGAACTCTTTGAACACTCAACTGCAAAGCTTAGAAAAAAGCTAAGATCCAACTAGTTCATACATGGAAGACAGATACCACTGCTTTCTACAGATTTTTGGTCGCTTTGATCATAATTATGGCAGCTTAATGCTTTTGATTTATGAAGTGAGCTCGTGATGCTAGCTATAGAAATTACAGGAGGTGCTGTGAGATGTTCTGAAAGCAACATTGTATGGAAAGAAAGATGCTAACATCCCTTCTGCTAACATCATATGTACAAATTAGAAGGTGGTAATGGGTAGCTGATAAAACTCTGCTGCAAAATTTGGAAAATCTTATGGCTATCCTCGACTGGGCAACAGATACACACTTGAGCTTACATCACCTTCTGCCTAGTCTAGAGAATTGGAAAGAATAGCAATAATGAAAAATGCATTTTCTTACTTTATTGTTGACCAAGTGGGAAAAAAGTGACTTTTTAAGATTGTTGTCAAATAAAACATGAAGTTAAAGATACTCAAAATGAAATAATACCAATTTTGATTAGTTATCTACAGTACCAAAGGAAAGTTCAGTTATATCTAATGGTGGTAGTATTTTCACTGAACATGGTTTAAATTTCAGTTAAAAAAATTGAGATCTTTAAATGCAGATGAGAGGAGGGAGGAATAAAAGTGGAAGAAGGGAAATGGAGAAAAGATGAAGGGAGGGAAAGTAAGAGGAGAGAAAGTGAAAGGGAAGAAAAAAGTAGACAGAGGTAGACAGATACTAACACAGAGGAAACAAGACAGGGAGAATCAAGGAAAAATGTATACACTCCTCTTGCCATGAATATAAATAAGTAAGGTTTTTGGTGGCTTACAAAGTTGTAGTGGTACAAATTATCTAGATGAACTGATTATACTGCCTATAATTTATTCACAATCTTGCAAACAACATTTTAGTTCTACTTTGAAGAGTTCAGATAATATCCCTGGACTCAACAGGATTCTGCTGTTGTTTGGGGAGTGTTTTCTGTTCATCAGAAACCTGATTACACTTATTCTTTCTTGAAGAGAAGAAAAGCTACAGGCTATAATTCAAGCTTGCATTTCTCAATACATATTTTACTTTAAATATGTAGAATTCTAACAGTCTTATGGGTGGATTTACACATTAAAACCACACTAGTATTCAAGGAATCACAAGCCAACATCTCTTGGGTTCTAACTTCTATTTAATATTTTGGTTTAGCACTCTCACACACTTCTTAAACACATTCTGAAATAGGTAATACTGCATGTCTCTTGACTAAACTTTATTTTGTTTATAATTATAGTCAAGTTTTTCTAAAGTGATGGGACACTTCCTACTAATAAAATCCTCTTAATGTAGATATGACTAAATATTTCACTATTTTTATCTCCTATTATTTCACAGATCTCATGTAAAAGCAAAGTACTATAAAATACAAAACACAGCTTGCATTCACTAATTTATTTTTGTTTCAGAAGTCTCATTTTGCCAGGGGGAAACAGAGATAATGCAATCTCTAGTAGTCTCATATTCAAGTCTCAATAATGAGAATTTGGATCACAGGCTTGCAACAATAGCTTTCAGGGTTGGTTCTTCTACCGGAAGGAATGTCAACAGTAAATGAGAAATAACTCCAGCCAGTAACACAGCTTTGAATAAAAGGAAGGCCTCAGAAAGAATTAGAATGAGCGAAGGCTTTCTTTATGTAGAACTAGCCTCAGCATCCAATGTACATTGACACTTCTGGTAGATACGCATAGCAAAAGCACAACTCCACAATAAAATCAAAGCAACACAAATATAAAGCAGTCCTATTAGAGTGATAAAGATGTATAGTATGAGGATTTTTTTTTCTGCCTTTTCTCCTCTAGCACCACTTAATTGCTGAGAATTAGAAATAGCTGTCCATTCCAGAGCAAGAACAGAGACACACACACTTTCACATACATTGTCTAATACTGTCGTCTATGTACTACTATAGGTACAGACATTCTTTAGAACCTGTTAAGTGTGCCTATCAATTTCCCAAACACAGGAAATCAGTTTGCAAGAGTAATTAGTTAAAATGTGAAGATCACGAGGACCTCTGAAATCAGTAATATTATATAGTGTAAAATGCTTAAATTGTGATAATTTGAGAAGCTGGTAATATTTTTTGTTTATTGATTGAATCAATACACTTTAAAAAAGCAAATGTAAATCTGTATGTTGCATTTAAAGTGTCTTTAAACATTGATTGTTCACCTTATCATATGTGTATCTTAGATTATGCAGATGAACGGGAAGACTGTGCACTATATCTTTCCTCATGCAAGGATAAAAATAACAAGAGACTCGAAGGATCACACAGTTTCAGGTAAAGGAAATCAAATAATCTACTTTTTATTTTATTGTCAGATTGGGATATGTATTGGATTTCACTTTAGATGACTTATCAAATTTTAGAAAATACTACTTCTACATAAAAAATTGTGTTTTGGAGAATTTCAAAAAATAATTAGGCTATACTTTTGAAAATAAAAGACTTTAAGGGCATAGTCATTAATATGACAAATTACTAAGTGGTACACATTTAGGTCATTTTTTCATTAATTGCACTTTTAATACATACATGACATTATAATACTCCATAATTATTGTTCTGAACAATATAGCCGCTGGTTTTAGAACTATAAAACCTCCTTACACAGGAAGTAGAGATCTCTGATTCTTCTAAGGAATAAACCCTCCTATACCTTGTCAATTTGAATATTATCAATTATGCTGAGTTTTTGTCTGTTTACTTGATTGTGTTCTTATGTGAACCAAAGCATCTGACAGGTTTCTAAAACTTTTTATTTTGAAAAAATGTTAGATACCCAGAAAATTCTGGATTCCCCAGAAAGTAGTACAGTCGATTCTTCTGCCCATCCTTGACTCAGTTTCCCTAGTGTTAACATCTATCTAATAACAATAAGATGATCAAAACTGGGAAGTGAACGTTAATGAATATGGTACTATTAAAACATCTGTAAGCCTTGGGGTGCCTCTCAATCAGTACAGCATGCAACTCCTGATCTCAGGGTTGTAGGTTCAAGCCCCAGGTTGGGTGTCGAGATTACTTAAAAGTAAAATCTTTAAAACACACACATGCACATCTACAAGCCTTATCTAGAGTTTTAGTTTCCCCAATTACCCACTAAATTCTTTTCTTTTTTCCTGGTCCAGTATCCAATCCAGATCTCATATTGCATTTAGTTGTCAACCCTCCTTGTGTCTGGTGTGATAGTTTCACAGTCTTTGTGTTTCATGATGTTGATGCTTTTGAAAGATAATGGAATGTTTATATTATAAATTTAATTTTTTTGTTTAGATCTTTGATACACAATATAAATTCTGTCAAAGTTAATGTCTTTTTGAAATATAAGTAGTACCTGTATTCTCATTCAAATATATTCCTTGTGTTTATAGACACTGTACATCAACAGAAAATATTCATAAATATACATGTCATATATATGTGTGTGTGTGTATATACATGTGTATATATATACATATATATGAACATATATGTAGGTGAGTTATCTAACATGGTATATATGCTGGAGGGTTTTTTTTTTCCTTCAAGGACTGATATAACAAAGGACAAAAATAGATAAGTTTTCAGTTTACTTGTTCTTGTTCTTTGCATATTTTAGACCATGGAGCATGAAGATATGGAACAGGTTTTACTTTGAGCAATTTTCCTCTATTTTCATAGAGAATGAATCGATTAGGAGTCTAATGTTGTTTTCCTTTTAAGATTGGGTAATTTTTCTCCTACCAAAGACAGATAATTTAAACTTTCATAGTTTTATTGCATGCACACTGTATTTTAAGCACTGATGAAAATTCCAGGGGTGAATCTTAAAATCCATGGGCTCTATGAGTTGGAATAAGTACAATGGAATAACTCTATGGAATAATTACTTCTACAAACTGTTTCAGTTCCCTCCAGCTCATAAAGCAAAACAACGTAGTACTTTCCAGCAATGCCATTTTTTTTTAGTACAAACAACAGAAATCTTACTAAATCATTAGAACTCTATATCAATGTATCTATCTTTTAACTGTATTATTGCTTTTATACTGTGTTAGTCATCCCCTTCTTACTTTTCTTTTGCAACTCATTATTTTGTTTTCTTTTATTAGGAAAAAATTTTTAAAATATAAGAAGGACAGAAATAAGAGCTATTGATATCTCATTATAAATATTTTAGCCTGAAAACTAAATTCAGTTTCCTCTGTATATAGATTTTACAAAATGAGAAACAAGAATCATTGTTTTGAGCAATATGTTTACTAGCATGCCCCTTTTTCTTTTGATATTTACCTAATACAAAAATAAAAATATTTTCCCTCATTATATTCCCCTGCATCATTTAATACTGAATATATTTTCCATGTGTCCTTGGATAGCATGATCTCCTAGTAAATTAAATGTTTTGAAACAATTCATGTTGTTTTCAAATAAGTCTTCAGTACCTCAAAGGGATTTAAATACATGTATATGCAAAGCTAGAGCGAGAAATGACTTCTTTGGCAAACAGTGTCTCGAAGGTCTAAGCTAATGGCAGGCAAACCCTGGCACAGAGCCTTTGTGTTCCTGACTGATCACTCTGTTGTTTGCCACTCAACCAAAAGCTTTTTTTCGCTTAACTGAACATTTGGTGACATTAGAGATTTACAGTTGTTTTTTGGCTATGATTACCACTTTGATGTTAATGTTTTTAATAAAAATTAAGGATTTTTTTAGAGATACATACTAAAATATTTACGGATGAAACAATATCTTACCTGGAATTTCTTCAAAATTAGTTGTATGGAGAATAGTGAAGGAATAGATGTAAAAAACTGAACATGATTTGGTAATGGTTGGAGTTGGATGGTTGACCACACTGGGTTTTATTATAGGCTTGCATTACTTTTTTATATGTATGACACTTTCCAAAATAAAAAAATTAAGTTCTTGTTTGTTTTTCATATTTAGAGAAAATGAGCAGTGGACTGTAGCTTCATCAGTAGTGGAAAAGTTATCTAACCAAAAATTTAAATGCCTTTATAAACATGATGAGGATATAAGCAAGGAAAGAGTGAAGAATAAAATGTAGCATATCTGCCCTCACTAACAGAAGGTCTAGATGGTCATTAGTGCATTTTCATTTTGGTTATATAAACCCACTAAAAGTAGAAAAGCTATTTATCTTTTATGATAGTTTAATAAGCCATTCCAGGGGTACCTGGGTGGCTCAGATGGTTAAGTGTCTGCCTTCCATTCAGGTCATGATCTCAGGGTCCGGCATCAAGCTCTGCATTGGCATTGGGCATTGGTATCTTAGACTGCCTATTCAGTGGGGAGCCTGCTTCTCCCTCTCTGCCCTTACCCCACTCATGCTCTCTCTCTCTTGCTCTCAAATAAATAAAATCTCTTTTAAAAAAATAAACCATCCTAACAGGATATAGCATTAAAATATTTTATAAGAATTATGTGAAACAGGTATACCTCACAAAAAAAATATTCTTTGGAATCAGAATAATTTCAAAATAGAAGACTGGAATAGAAATGTGTGCGGTTTTTTTAATTGTTTCTCCTGTGCGTTTCCCAGAGTTCGGACAGGAGATCCTCACGGTTTCCAAAATTCTTTCAGGGGGTCCACAAAGTCAAAAATATTTTCATAGTAAAATGGTAAGATAGCATTTGCCTTTTGCGACCTCATTTTCTTGTGAATATGCCCAGTAGAGTTCTTCGGAGGTTGCATGATGTGTGCCAACACAACACGTGGTACACAAAACAGATATGGGCATTTTTTTAAATTTATTTATTATTTTTTTTCAGTGTTCCAAAATTCATTGTTTATGTACCACACCCAGTGCTCCATGCAATATGTGCCCTCCTTAATGCCCACCACCAGGCTCACCCATCCCCCCAATCCCTTTCCCCTCCAAACCCTCAGATATGAGCATTTAGCTGTATTCCATTTAGCTCAATATTTTTTTTTAAGATTTTATTTATTTATTTGACAGACAGAGATCACAAGTAGGCAGAGAAGCAGGCAGAGAGAGAGAGGAGGAAGCAGGCTCCCTGCTGAGCAGAGAGCCCGACGCGGGGCTCGATTCCAGGACCCTGGGACCATGACCCGAGCCGAAGGCAGAGGCTTTAACCCACTGAGCCACCCAGGCGCCCCTAGCTCCGTATTTTTTTAAACTTAATTTTATTTTTTCAGTGTTCCAAGATTCATTGTTTATGTGCCACACCCAGGGCTCCATGCAATATGTGCCCTCCTTAATGCCTACCACCAGGCTCACCCATCCTCCCATCCCTCTCCCTTCCAAATCCCTCAGATATGAGCATTTAGCTATATTCCATTTAGCTCAATATTAAGTGGATTTGCAATAATGTAAAACAACACCACCCATTTTATAAGTATTTTATTTTTAAAATATAGTCATTTTTAAAAATATAATTACTTTAATATAGAATAATTTTATTTTAAATTCATGAGTAAATGTTTTAAATTCTCAGTTTTAATTTATGATAGGGGAAATAAATAGGCTTGTAATCCATATGAACAAAAGGTCTTTGAGGTCCTTGGTAATATTAAAGAGTATAAATGGCCCATTAAAACCAAAATGTTTGAGAACTATTACTCTAAGGATATGTGTAGACAATGTTAAGAAAATATAAATAAACTTTTTTCTTCCTATAAAAAGCTTTACAGCATAAAATGTATTTTGAAGCTGTTTTTATAACTCATATTGGGTAAATTTTTAATTTTTATTTGTTAATATTTATTTATTGAACACCCCTGATGTGATTTACATTGTGTTGATTGCTAGGATAATAGAATGAGCACACACATACCCTTGCCTACAGCTTGCTCGTAATTCAGTAGTAAAGTCTGAAATGTACGTAATTATTACAATAGAATTTTAGGAATAACTAAGATAAAGCCAAACATTATTGTTCATACCTATACATGTATATGAATAATTGTGTACCCACATTTACTTATGCACCACTATTTATATTTTTGTGATGTTCACAGAGAGAAATACATGAATACACTCTTCTTTTAAATGATCCATGATTTTTAGAAAATAGATCTTTTGACTATTAACTGAAAACTTCAAAGATGGACTTATAGGTGCTGATCAACAACTGTATAATGATTTTGAACGCCTTTATTCAACCAAACACAAGGTGGCATAGTGGAGAGAATAGTTGTGAATTTTAGCAGAAAGACCTGAGTTGGAGTTCAACTCTATTACATATTTAAATTTTGAGAATAAATTTGCTTATCTGTACAATAAGACCGTCTCTATGTATCTCACATAATT